TGCCGAACCAGAACAGAAGTCGACGCCCCCAGTGAAAAGGGGGCGCAGATGAACACTTCCCTGGCCCAGGGCGGCCACCAGGGACTGCACGTTCGCGCGCCCCGAGCCCGGGGCGGCCGCCATGGAGCGCGGCGCCAAAGGTGCCCCAAGCGGCCCCAAGACGTCTTGGAAGAACCCCGAAGGACCCCCCAAAGAGGCCCGACACCAGTCCGACAACAAGACAGATGTCACATGTCACGGACGCTTGAGCAAACGTAGCTCGAAGCGTCGCCGCGCAGACCGCCGCGCCGGCACGGTGGCGGACCGCGCCGCGGGCACCATAAGATTCACATGTTCGCGCTGCGACTGCGTCTGGCGGCCTTTGCCGCCCGCGCTTGGAACGCGCCCAGGGCGCTTGCATTGGCCGGGCCCTCTTCTTGGATGGTTCGCTGCGTTCGGGCGCCGAGCAGGCGGCGCAATGCTAGCGCGGGCGCGAGGCCCCCTCGCTTGCCTTCCCGGGGGCAAAAGAGGGGGGAGGGGGGGTAGGGGGGGGCGAGGCGCGGCGACGGATGGCGGAGCAGGGATGCAAAGAGGAAGGGCGAGGGACAGGGGGGGGGGGGGGGGGGGGCAAGGTGCGCCCCCCCCCCCGGAGCCGCAGCCGCCTTCCACCCCATCCAGGGGGCAGAGAAAGAAGAAGGGAGCAAAGAGCAGGAGGACGACGACGGAGAGAAAAATGCCAGCGGCACGCCTATATATACCAACTGTCGCGATTCGGGCGGGCGCGCTGTCATCGAAGCGCTGCAATCCCGACGCCTGCTGAATTCGCGAGTTCCCCCCATCGCCGCGCAACAGAAGGGCAGCGGGCCCCAAAAGGAAGCCCCGCGCAGGTAGCGGCGGCATTCCGCGCGGATGCTCTGACGCTGGCGCCGCGGATCGACGAGGTGGGGCCACGCGCGGGGCCTACGACCCAGACTGGCCGCGGCGTGCTCGACAGCAGCGTAGATATTGCGCCGGGCCTCTCCGGCACCTCCGCCCCGTCGACATCGGACCAGGCTGCCGGCGCCACCTGTTGGACGTGGCCAGAGAAGCCGCTGTCGGTCTCCAGTGGTGTAGCCAACAAGGCCGATGGTGAACCGCCATCGGCGGTGCTGGCGGCGCCCTCGGGAACGCCGATGACACGGTCATCGAACAATCCGTCGGGGCCCCGTCCGGCGCCTGCCACCAGTGAGGGCTCGCCACCAAAGATGGCATGAATCAACTTCGCCGATGAGCTGGTGGGCGTCGAACTTGACGCCGTCGAAAATGGATCTGTCGGAAGTCGCTCGGGTTGAGAAGTGACCGACAGATGGCCGAGCTGCGGGTGCAGCCAGACCGATTGCCCGCGGACTTCCTGCCGCGCATGAGGCGCGCGGCGAAAGCGTCCGGCAGCTGGAAGCCTCTGCGAAACAAATGGCGCAGGGCTTCGAGCGTGCCAGGTCTGCTCGGCGACCTGCGCGCCAGTCGCGACCTCCCAGTGGCCGAAGGTCTTGCTCCTGGAGCCTGGCGCGACGCGCTCCAGGATGTCCTCCGCGCGGTCCCAGGCAGAGCCTGCTGCTCGCGCCAAGCCGGCGCCCGCGTCGTCGAAGACGGCGCCGATGAAGGCCCGGGCGTCTTGTAAACTCGGCTCGGCGGCGCTCGACCGCCACCGTGCCTCGAGCCGGGCCCGCAGAAATGGCCGCCCCCCAGGGCCGGCCCAGCCCGGCCCGCCCCTCGAGCTCGGGGCCCCGTCGAATTCCGCCGCGTCGCCAACCTCGAAGCGGCGCCCCCCGGGCTCGGCGGCGCGGGCCAGGGGAGCGCGGCCGCCGCGCGATCTCGGCGCGATCTCGGATGCGCCGCAGAAGTCCGCCAGGCTGCACTGCTGCGCCGGTGGGGAACCGTGCGCCGGCGCCGCAGGCGCCAGATGCCTCGCCCTCTTCGTCTGCTCCTGGCGGCAGCGCGGGCACGTGGCGCAGCGCCGCGCGTGGATAAGGCGGTTGCTAGTAGAGGTAGCGCGCGCTAGCATCGAGTCGAAGTTCGCCGCGGCGCCATTACGCTCTAGCTGCTCCGCAGCACGGAGCCGCGTTGCTCGACGAAGCGAGCGCGCCGACGAGGACCTCGAATATCCACGAGAACGCCTCGCCGTTCGATCTCCCCCAAGAGATGCGCCGAGGTCATCGGGCCCTTGGCAATTCCATGGAACGCAACCATCACGCCGAACAACTGAACCTATGAGCAGTCGATGGCGGCCTGCAGCGCCTGGGCCCGCCGGCCGCGCAGTCTTGAACTCGGCCCATGAGTTCCGCCGCCCCGCGTCGCAGTCGTCGCCGCTCTTCGTCGCGAGGCTTGGGGGGAAAGCAATGGGGTGCTGCACCTGCCCGTCGCGACCAATTGCAGTGACCGAATTGCTGCAGTGAGCCGTCTGGCGGCGCTGGCCGCTGCTGCCGGCCGCGGCGCCAACGCTGCTGGAGTCGGCTGTCCGTCGTTTGCTCTTCGCGGGATCACCCTCGCCGGAACCCGGAGCCACGGGCCGCGGCGTTCCGGAGGTGTCCTGGACTCGCAGCGCCCCTGGCCACCCGCGCCGCGCGCGCTCCCGGCGCGGGCCGCCGCTGCTGGGATGGACCTGGCGGCCGCCGCTGACCCAGATGCGCAGGAAACAAGGGCGTCGGCGGCGATGGCGGCGCTGGGGCGCATGCGCCAGGACGAGAGATGATCGGCGATCGTCCCCAGACACGTTGGCCAAGAGAGCGCAGGCCTTGACCTTTGCCCTTGCCATGTCGCCGGGTGGCTCTCCAGGCGCGGCGCGCAGGCTCGAGGTCGGCGAAGCTGCGCCAGCGCTTCGGCGAGCTCGCGAGCCCGGAGAAGGCGCGCGCTGCGTCGCTCCACGGGGGCGTCGCGCAGCTCGGGATCGCCCGCGGCGTCGCCGTCGCAGAATGGGCAGACGGCGTCAGAGCGAGCGCCGGGGGCGAACCCTCGCGCCGGCGGCGGCAGCCGGCGCGGGCGGGCTCGGCGCCGCCCCCCCGCGCAGCTGCAGCTGGACCCAGGCCGCCGCCGCTCGATCCGGCCGCGGCGCCGCGGGCGCCCTGATCTCGCGGGGGCGCGCCCGCATGGAAGGCGCGCCTCTGGGCCGCGTGGGCCGCCGAGACGAGGTTGCCCGGCGGCCCCTCGACCATGCGACTGACGCGCCGCAGCTGGCCCGTCGCGCGCGCGACCTGATATGGGCGTTCGCGGGGCGGGCCGCGCCGCGGCGAGGCCAGGTCGCGGCTGGCCGGATGCGTCGCAGCAAGGAGAGGCTAAGCAAGGCCCTCGTAGCCTATCGTGAATTGACCAGTTTGCCGCGCCAGGTTGCGGGGAATCTCGAAACATTCGAGGAGGTCTGTCGTTGCGCCCGCGCGGCAGTCGGTTGACGTTCTTCAATGCCGACGCTGCCGACGCGCGCCCCCTCGCCCAGTTGGCCCCGCGGCTCGGCCAAACTGTGCGCGGGGAGAATCACTGGCTCGCCGTTGATGAGCCCTCCCTGGATCAGGACAGCCCGTGGCCGGCGCGGCGCGACGAGACGCGGGCTGCCTGGCGAAACTCGTCGCAGTCTGAGTTCGCCGCTGACAAGATCATCGCCTTGCGCGCCCACTCCTGGAAGGACACTCGAGTTCGCTGCTCAGGCCCCCAGGCGCGGAGGTGTCGCGCGTTGCCGCCGCCGCCACGCACCCCCATGCAGTCGATGCGCCTGGCAACGGCATGCGCGGCCGCTCCGACGGCCTTCCATTTGGAATGCGCATCCCTCCGCGCGTCGCCGAAGCGCCGGAGGACGGGGGCCCACCGGCAGCGTTGCTCGGGCAGCGCGCCTCGGCGTCGCCGCGGATACATGCCCTCGATGCGTTCTTCCTCGTCTGCGTGGGCGCCTGCTTTTGCCGCGTGGCCGTCGTGCTCCCGGCCGGCACTTGGAGCATCCCGTGGCACTGTTGGGGGCATGTTCCTCTCACGTTACGTCGCCGCCGTGCTAAGCGCCGCCGACTCCACGATCGTCGAAAGAAGCGCCCATATGGGCAGAAGCATGCCAGGCAACCGGGAACGCGCGGGTGAGCTGAAAAGTGACGCACCAAAAAATCGAAAAAGGACCGGGGTGCAAAAGAGCTGGCGATGTAGGTGTTGACTGCGATGGAACCTGCTTCACCCAAATCCGCTTCGCTGTCCCGCGGAGCTCTGGTGACGAGGTCGCGGCGACCCTGCATTGCCTCCCCGCGACGCTTTGCCTGTTGCTTCCAGGGCATTTTTAAATGAAGAATCGCAAAGAATCTGGATTCTCCCCCGTCGCCATACATGTGAACATGGTGTTCACCAGCTGTCTGAAACTTGCGGCTACACCAGCAAGCGGTCGCATTGAAAGCATAGGGCCGGCAAAACGCGCTGACGCACTCAACGCAAGACCAGGATGGATTGCCGAAAGGTCCTGCGCGATGCGGAATTCGTGGTGGTCATCGGCGGAGGCGCGACCAGGACCCTTGAAGGTTCAGTCGAAGGCATTGTAGTTGTAGTGATTGTGCGCACTCCCCGTCAATGGTCCTGGCGGATGGGTTGCTGCACAGACGGGCCGTATAATAACGTATGCAGCAATGGTGAACGGGAACAGGTGCACGAAAACGAAACTAAAAACGGACGAGTAGCAGGATGAACAGCGGCGGAAGGTTGGAGCCATTGCTGTCAAAATGCGGCAGAACATGGCGAGGCCGCGGCAACGGTGCATTGTGAATTGGATTTGTCTAGCAGCGGGTCAAATAGCGGGCGCGGGGCATGGTACCGGCTGGACAACGGCAGCGGGTGGTCGAGGCAACGATGGTGTTAGACAGGCAGGACAAGGAACGCATCTCGTTCGAGCGAGGGTGAGCGAGGAGGAGGAGGAGGGGGAACGAGGAGGGAAGAGAGACGGAGGAGGAAAAGGAGAAACAACAAAGGGCAAAAAGGGGGGACGACGGGGGGGGGGTGGAACGAGGGGGGGGGGGGCCGCGCGCCTGCTGGGCCAACACCCTGGCGGTCATCTCGGCGAGCTCCTCGTCCGTGCAGTGCTGCCTCCCAGGCCCACAGAGGTGGCGGGTGGCCCCGAAAAGGAAGGCCCAGGCCCGAACCCCTTTTGCAGGAGGTGGCAACACAGGGGTCTGGCAGGGACCAAACCATTGGTCATCCACCACCTTCTGTATGGTGAGGACGTACTTTGTCCTCCTCCTGATCATTATCCTGCTTTTCCTCGTCGTCCTCCGCCTCATCCTCCTCCTCCTCCTCTTCCTCGTCCTCGTCCTCCTCCTCCAAATTCTCCGAATAATCCTCCTCCGCCCCCCTCCTCCTCGTTTTCCTCTTCCTCCTCCTCCTCCTCCTCCTCCTCCTCTCCCTCCTCTTCTCCTCGGTCTTCCTCCTCCTCCTCCTCTTCCTCCTCCTCCTCCTTCCCCTCCTCCTCCTCCTCTTCCTCCTCCTCCTCGTTATGACTGGTTTCCTCCTCCTCGCCCTCCTCCTCCTCCTCCTCCTGCTCTTCTTCCTCTTCCTCCTCTTCCCCTCCTCCTCTTCACCCTTGTCCTCCTTAGTATCCTCCTCCTCATCATCCTCCTTCTCCTCCTCCATCTCCCTCCTCATCTTCCTACTCCTCCTCCTCCCCTTCCTCCTACTCCTCCTCCTCCTCCTCCTCCTCCTCCTCCTCCTCCTCCTCCTCAGTATCCTCCTCATCCCCCTCGCCCTCCTCCTCCTCCTCCTCCTCTTCCTCCTCGTCTTCTTCCTCCTCCTCTTCCTCCTCCTCTTCCTCCTCCTCGTCCTCCTCGTCCCCCTCCTCCTCCTCCTCGTCCTCCTCGTCCTCCTCGTCCTCCTCGTCCTCCTCGTCCTCCTCGTCCTCGTCCTCCTCGCCCTCGTCCTCCTCGACCCAAGCCATCGCGAAGTCCTTGTCCGCGCCACAGGCCACATACGCCACCGAATAGCCGCAGCCAGAGGCGGATGGCGCCTCCGAGCTACTGAAACTGCAAAACGAGTTACAGCGCTCGCGAGTGTCTCTCGCCCGCGCGAATGATGTCCGCCGACCTGAACGTGGCCACAAGGAACCTCCAGACCTTGCCCACCATGAACCTGGCATGGGGACCTGGCCAAGTCAGAGAGGACCCTGGAGCCCCAGGGCCCCGCAGCCGGCGGCCCCTCGCAGGCCACTGAAAGTCGAGCAGTCACCTGCGATCCACGACGCCAAACCCACACACGCAACGCACCACATACCACTCACGCCGCCCCCATCCACGACCACCTGGAGCGGGTGAAGGACATGCTGGCACGCCTCCCTGTTGGAGGCAGCACGGACACGCGCGAAATCTGCCCTCAGAAGAACGGGTCGCACCGAGGTGGGCGGCGGCGGATACACCCTGAGAGCGGGCACGCGATGCGAATTCACAGCTCGAGCAGACTTGATTTTGTCCGTAGCATTCACAGAATCAATATCAGACACGGTGAGCCCAACTGCGCGCAACCCAAGATTCCCACTGCTTCAGCACCTGAGCTTTGGCACACTAAGCTTTACGAGTGGCCTCAAGCACACGCGAACGACTGCGCTGCCACTGGGCCCATTCATCCGCTAAGTCATTGCCAACTTTGTGAAGATGAAACGCGAGGCCAGCCTGCACGTTCGCGCTCGAGCTGAGCGCGCGCACTTTGCCCGTGCCCACGTACTCGATCCTTCCCTAGTCGCCTGCGAGCCTCCCGACCTGACTCCAAATCTCGGCGCAGGCCGACCTGAAGAAAACCAACAATCACGCCCACGACGGTACAAACCACCATGCACGAACGCACTAGCTGCGTGGAACACAAAGTCGGGGCTCGAATGCTGACGACCTCTGAATGCTGAAGACCTCTGAGCAACGCGACCAGCTCAGCAACGCCTATGTCAGAACGTCCCATGACCAGCGTGCCACACAAGACGGACCTCGCGCGCGTCGCGGATGGTTCGACCGACGCGGTGATCCCGGCTAGGGCCTGCGAGGCTGCTGGGAGAGATTGGTCCATCTAGGACCTGCCAAGAAAGACATGCGATCGGCGGGGACGTGGCCGCCAGGAGGGCGATGACGAGGAGGAGGCACAGGGACAAGGAGTCCGCGTGCCAGTTCTGGTGGCTGGAGCGGTCCTTTAAGGGGCAGACGTGCATCTAGCAAGTGGTAAAAGCAGATCTAGTGAAACGAACAGGGATGACAACTGACGCAGTCGACAAGGGCCTCCGTCTCAAACAGGGGGAGGGAAGATGGCGCAAGGAGGGGTAACAAATATCGAGATATCCGACAGAATCACTGATGGAAGAAAATCGCTGCTGGAAGGAAGGGGGGAAGCGGAGTGGAGCGGACCACTATCTGGTCGGGTGAGCGCGGCTGCGCACAGAATGAGCTCTTGAACCGCACGGCGGCACAGCCCGCGCGGACCCGTCGAAGCTGCGACACGAAGCAGCCGCTGCAGGCTGCGAGCGTGCAACGGGAGAGTGGAGAGGAGGGGGAGCAGTCAGGCCCACTGCCTCCCCTCCTACCCCTAGAGCCCCTTCCCCTCCGCCCTCCACCTTCTCCTCACCACTACCAGCACAAGCAGCAACACCACAGACGTCGTCATCTTCACCCCGATTACAACCAGGACCATCGTCGTCAGCACCATTGTCCTCCTCCTGCTTCTCCTCCTCCTCATCCTACTCCTCCTCCTCATCCTCCTCCTATTCCTCCTCCTCCTCCTCCTTCTCCTCCTCCTCCGCGTCCGTATCCTCATGCTCCTCATCTACATCCCTCCTTTCCTTCCTGCCTTCCCCATCTATCCTCCTCCTCCCCTCCACATCCGCCTCACCTCCTCCTCCTCCTCCTCCTCCTCCTCCTCCTCCTCCTTCTCCTCCTCCTCCTTCTCCAGAGAGAGCACAAGGACAACGAGATAACGGAGGTGGAGGCGTATGTAGGCTGTACTGCAGAGGCGTATGTACGCGTGTGTTGAGGACGGGGGGCACGACAAGCGTAGTATGGAAGAAGGTGTGGAATAGCAGCAGCTGCAGGGGGAGGATGGTGATGAGGAGGAAGAAACACAGCAGGAGCAGGAGGAGCCTGAGGCGGGACAGGCGGACGATGAGCGGAAGAGCAGGAGGACGCGGAGAAGGGAGGGAGCGGAAATGAATCTCGGAGTGCAGGGGGATCGGGGGACGGAGTGAGGGAGGTGCCGTCGGAGGAGGGCGAGGGCAGTGGTGGGGACGAGGGTAGGATGGTGAGGATGCCGAGGCGGAGGCGGAGGAGGAGGAGGGCGAGGAGGTCGACGTGCAGCACAACTGGGGGGCTCGGGCCGAGCCCAGCACCTTGCCCCCGACCCCGCCCGCCCGTCGTCTGACTCGTCGTTGACCAGGTCCCTGAACGCCTCCTTCCCGGCAACGGGGACGGCTCACGACTCACTACCAGCTGCAGTGCCCCGTCCTTCCCAAGCCTGCTCTGCTCCCCGCTCTCCTCCACTTCCGTCCCTCTGCTCGCCACTCTTCCGAGTTCTGCCTCTGCGAACGTGGCGGTCGAGGCGCGGAACTCGTTCGCCCTGTTCGTGAGCAGAATGGACGAAAACGCCAAGGCCAAGCACGACCTCCGTCTCTACACAGGGACTGCCCGCGCCATGGTCGAGATTGTCCAAAGCGTGCAGACAAACCCTTGGGAGCAGGTTTGACTGTTGAAGACAAGCCTTTCCAGGATGAGGGCTGGCAGGACTTCCTCCCGCCTCACGAGCAGGCTCCCTCTCCGCGGTACGGCAGGTTCGTGTCGTGCCGACTTCGGCGTCGGTTCCTGACACTGCGGGGATCGTTCAACCTTGAAGGATCGGCCGTTTCCGAAACGTCAGATCGTTCAACATCGACCGTTTACCGTTTCTGGGTCGCAGGCGGCGCAAGCGGCGGGGTCGCCGCCAGTCGACACGACGAGAATCTACCGTACCCTTCTCCCTCCCCCCCTCCTCGAGGAGGAAACTTCAATGCAGCTTGATAGCGCCAGTAAGAGGGGTTAAGGGTGAGGAGGAGAAGGAGCAGAGTGAGGATGGACGAGGGGGAAAGGCATGAGCGGAAGAGGGGGGCCAGAAGAAGGGATGAGGGGGAAGAGGAGGCCATAGTGCAGTCAGGGGGCGCCCTAGGCCCTAGCCTGAGAAGATGAAAGATAGGGAAGGGGAAGAATAGGCCAGGGAAGACGAGACCAGGAAGGGCACGGGATAGAACGATGACTTGCCTCTGGCAACGCACGTCCGACGAAAGAGGCAACGGCGGGGGCGGGGAAGCGAAAGGACACGGACATTGGTGAAAAGGAGAAGATCTGGGGCAGGAGGGGGAGGGGGAAGCACGTGGAGGAAGGGGGGGGAAGAAGGAGTGGGCGTGGACGAGGAGGAGCGTGGAGGAGGGCGGAGTGGCGACGAGGAGGAGACTCCGACGTCGTGTTCTGTTCTGCACGGGGCCCCCGGAGGTGTGGAACCCGTCCCTGGGACCGCATTCATCCCCGAGTCTTTGACAGTCCAGGGGCTATGTGCTATGTGAAGGCACCTGGAGGCCGAAAATAACAAATCCCAAGCATCTTGCATCCGCCACCACGCCTGGTGCACGTTGGGGCGTCTTAGAATGCTCCTGTGCTGTATGGTAGGGTTTCTTCAATGCTTTCTAGTAGGGCCGACCTCATCCCAAGGCCGCACCCGCTCTTGGAAAATCGCTCCTCTGAGGAGTAGATGTTGGATAGCCCCCTAACGCATTACTGTCTGGAGAGGTCTTTTCCCACAGGAGCTCTGGTCGATCAGTGGACACGCGGCCTGCAATCGCGGTGCTGCGGGGGCACTGCAGGTGGACGTCAGGGCGCCGCCAATGGGCGAAACAAACTTACAAGAGGACTGTATGTGTTGAATTGCACAAAGTGCAGAGGAAGAGATTGTACAAGAGGGATAATCTTGAAGCCGCGGTAGCCTGTCTACGCAAAACCAAATTCTATAACGTCCTTCATCTCTGTTGGTGACAATCGTGAAAATCCAGCAGCGTTCTGCAGTGGGTTCCGGAAGCGCTGCTTGGCGTGTAGCAGAAGGTCGTCCCACCATCTGGTTCTTGGGTGTCCAACCTGTCGCTGCGTCGGTAAATGTTCATCGTATTCAGGCTCCCAATTTAGGATTAAGCGTGACCGTTCCTTCGCACTGTTGGCATACAGTACCCGCAAACGTGTCCATTTACGCTTTTTGATTATGGTGGTCTCATCTGCGATCCCCGACTCTGAAGAATTATGTTCAACATGTTGCGTTGCACGACGGATACACTCCGGCCAAGGTTCTAAGGCATCTTCCTGTAAGTGGTCGGCATCTGCGGTTGGGAGTGGTTGCGTGCTGTAAGCATCCCCTCCGCTGCTGGCACAGGATGCAGACTCGTTGTCTTCTGGGTCGTCGTCGTCGTCGTCGTCGTTGTCGCTGTCGGGGTTGCGGCGGGGCTCTCCTCTTGTTATCTCAAGCTTCTCTCTTCGAGGCGGCTTGATGACTTCTTGCACAACGTCCCACCCTCCGCGGGGGGAAGTTACGGTCACCATCCCGACTGGAGAAGCAACGATCTGACATCACGGGCCCGGCCCACCCCTGCCGATAGAGGGAGGGAAGGGCTATAATAATAAGAATGAAGAAGAAGAGGCAGCGGAAATAAGAAGGACAACAGGTCCTTCCAGCCGGCGGTTCACGGCTGTGCAGCTCAAAACACAGCGCGTCCAAGTCACGAGTCAAGGATGACAGAGTCGTGATGCACCCCTTTGTGCTGCCAAACGTCGCGCGGTGTTCCACCGTGGTCCGTCGTAATGCTCACAGCCGTGCCGCTTGCCACGCTACACGACCCTCTGCTGGGTGCCGAAGACGTGCTGCTGCTCCCAATCGTGCTCCTGGGCATCGCGCAGCGTGTCGCCGGCAAGCTGAGCATTGGCGTGCAGTCGACTCTTCTGCACGACCCGCCGGGCATGGCCTTGGCGTGGCGCTAGGCGTGGCACGGCCAGGGCCCGCCACTATCCCCCGCCGAAGGAAGCGCCCTCCCGGGGTCCAAACGCACTCATGTTTCGAGCCGCACCCAGCCGTGGCGGCGAGAAGCCCCCAAGCGGTCACCCAAAAATGACGACAGAGGCCTCCTGTCCCCAACTTCTGCTGGCCGGAAACACTGCTGGGCCACCTCAGTCCCCCAGCCGACTCGAACCTCCGGCGTCCAGGCCGCCGTGCCCGGTGGCGGGCTCCTCGTCGAAGCCGCGGTCGGGGTCCACGCCCCGGTCGGAGCAGAGCTGGACGTACTCCTCGGGGCGGCCGCCGATGCGGAGGCGGCGCGGACGGCGCGGTCCATCGCGGCCGTTGCCGTCGGACTTGTCCGTCTCCTCCTCCTCCTCCGCCTCCGCCTCCTCCTCCTTCTCCTTCTCCTCCTTCTCCTCCTCCTCCTCCTTCTCCTCCTCCTCCCCCACCGCCCCCTCCCCCTCCTCCTCCTCCTCCTCCTCCTCCTCCTCCTCCTCCTCCTCCTCCTCCTCCTCCTCCTCTTCCCCCTCCTCTTCTTCCTCTTCCTCCTCCTCCTCCTGATCCTCCATTCCTGTTCTTATAGATACCTCCTCCCGATCACACTTCAGGACGTATCCGTAGGGCGAGTCAGGCGTTTCGCCTGAGACTTCCTCACAATTTACGATACTGAAGCTTGAAATGTTCAACAGTTTCAAAGATGGTGGGCGGGATGTTTTCAAAATGCGGCTCTCGCCTTAGCGCCGCGCGCATTCGTCTAAAGTTTGCAGCAGTTTCAACGCCGCGCACAATCGTTTCGAAAGTTCGCAACAGTTTCAAGGATGGAAGGCGGGTACTTTCTCAGAATGTGGCTCTCACCTCAGCGCTGCACACATTCGTCATAAAGGATTGCAGCAGTTCCAGAGGTGAAGGCGATTCATTTCCCAAATGTGGCTCTCGCCTCAGCGCCGCGCACATTCGTCTTAAAAGTTTGCAGCGGCTTCCAACATGCGTAGGGTTGAAGTCCCAGAAATGGTGTCCTGACGCTCTAGGATTGTCAAGACGCAGCAGTCACTTGCTTCGCGGCGTTCGAATTCCAGGTATGGCGTTTTGGCACGATTGAGGATTCTAGGACGGTGTTTTCTAACAGGGTAGTTACTTCCCACAATGAAGATCCGCCGACCCTGTCTGCGTGTGTCAGGGGCTTTTCCGTTCGAATCGTCGGCTCCGTCCTCCTCTGTTGCGTTTGCCTGGGGCCTCTCCCTCATACGCGCCGTCCAAAGCAACACTGAACAACATCGGAGTGGAATCGAAAGGGGCACCCCTTTGATCCCTTCCCCCCGCGCCCGGGGGGGGGGGTCCCAGGGGGGGTCATGGGGGAGTGCGGGGGGGGGTCCTGGGGAGGACCTCTGGGAAGGACCCCCCCGATACGTCTTCGGGGGGGTCCTGGGGAGGTCCTCTGGGAAGGACCCCCCCGATACGTCTTCCCACCCCCCGCGCCCCGGCCGCGTTCTGGCTCTGGCCCCGGCCCCCGCCCTGGCCCCGGCACGGACCCGGACACGGCCCAGCCCAGGGCGCCGCAGCCCGGGTCCTGGCCCCGGAGCCCGGCCCCCGGCCCCAGCCCCGGCCGTGGCCCCAGCCTCGGCCCCGGCCCCAGCCCTGTCCCTGGCCCCAGCCGCGGCCCCAGCCCAAGCCCCAACAGAGCTCAAGAGGCTCCCAAGAGAGCCCCAAGCAAGGCTCCATATCGTCAGCGTCGTCGTCGTCGCCGCTGCCGCCGTCGCCGTCGCCGTCGTCGCCGTCCCCCTTCAGTCGGCGGCACCGGCCGCTAGGCCTTCCCAATAAATTGTGTAGGGACCTATGAAGAGAGAACTTTGTTAGAGGGTTTATGGCAACACCGCTGATTAGTCTTAGGTTTACGCTGGTCCTCCTTCTCCTCCTTCTCCTGATTACCCTGCTCATTGTGCTTATCCTGCTCATCTGGTCCTCCTGCTCCTCCTCCTCCTCCTCCTCCTCCTCCTCATCATCCTCATCATCATCATCATCCTCATCATCATCATCCTCATCATCCTCATCATCATCATCATCATCATCATCATCATCATCATCAGCATCATCATCATCATCATCATCATCATCATCATCATCATCATCATCATCATCATCATCATCATCATCATCTCATCATCATCTCATCATCATCAGTCGTCGTCGTCGTCGTCGTCGTCGTCGTCGTCGTCGTCGTCGTCGTCGTCGTCGTCATCATCATCATCATCATCATCAGCATCAGCATCAGCATCAACATCAGCATCATCATCATCATCATCATCATCATAAGCATCATCATCATCCTCATCATCATACTCATCCTCATCCACATCCTCATCCTCATCCTCATCATCATTATCAGCATCATCATCATCATCATCATCATCATCATCATCATCATCATTATCATCATCATAAGCATCATCACCACCACCACCAATATCATTATCACCACCACCATCATATCATCATCATCACCATCATCGTCATCATCAGCATCAGCAGCATCATCATCATCACCACCACCCCCATCATCATCATCATCATCATCATCATCATCATTATCATCAACATCATGATCATCATCACCATAATCATCAGCATCATCATCATCAGCGTGGTCGTCGTCGTCATCGTCATCGTCATCGTCATCGTCATCGTCATCGTCATCATTATTCTAATCAGCATCATCATCATCATCATCATCATCATCATCATCATCATCATCATCACCATCATCATCATCATCATCATCGTCGCCTCCGTCTCCTCTTCCTCCTTCCTGCTCCTCCTGCCCCTCCCTCTCCCCTCCTCCTCCTTCTCCTCCTCCTCCTCCTCCTCCTCCTCCTCCTCGTTGTCGTCCTCCTCCTCCTCGCCCCCTCTCCTCCACGACGTCTCAATCCCCCCCCTTCCGAATGAAAGCCGGGACCTTTTCCGCTTCTGAGGCCCCATCCCTCGGGGCCCCATCTTTGAACCCCCGACTTTGCCGCGCCTTACCTCGAGATCCGGCCGCCGCCGCCGGCGCCCGACCCAAAATGCACCCTCCATCGCCCAAGCGGACCCCTCCCGGAGCCCACCCCGATGGGCCGTGCTGAAGCCGCGTTCGGCCGCCACGGCTCGGGAGAGCCTCCGGAAGGGCGCCCGACGGCGCACGCGGCGACTGCGACGGGGCGGTGGCGGCGGCTCGGATGCGCCGGGGAGGGGGGCCAGGAAGAGGTGGGGGCGCATCGGGGCCCGAAGCATGTGCGCAGACGAGCGGGGGCCACGGAGCGTGCCGAGAAGAGGAAGGCGCCGTGATATCCACACACGCACACACACACAGACAGACGCCCCTGATTACGGCAAGCTCGTGCCGCGACGACCCCGGCGCTGGTCTCCGACACCGCGTGGACCGTTCGACCTTGCACAGCCGCAGCCTTGCGATCGCCAGATCGCTCCATGCTGGCCGACGCTGGGCCGCCGCTGGCGTTCCACCTTGCACGCCTGCGCTGGGGCCGCATCCTCGTCGACACGAGTCGAGCCTCGGCCGGCCTGGGGACCCTAGTCCTCGCACCCCTCTGGGACGCCCCCGAATGGTAAGGCCCCTGGCTGCGCACAGGCACCCCCCCCCCCAGGTAGTCCCAGCTGGCCTCAACAGGCCCCCCGAGCAGCCAGGGGCGGAAACCCCAACCATGGGGCGCGGAGCGACCCAGGGGCGCTGCCAGAGGCGGCGCCAAGGTGTTAAGGCCGCCCCGGACTACTCGGGGGGCATGTTGAGGCCAGCTGGGACAACTTTGGGGGGCTGTCTGCGCGCCACCCGAGGCCGTATCACTCGATGGTCCACCTAACGCCTGATTGCGCCGACGTGTGCTTGTCCACCGAAGCCCTTCCATATAACGTATACGGTGTAAGAAGGGCCCGACACAAGCTGCGTGCTGTCGGCGCAGCTGAGCGGGGCAGACACATGTTGGGCGAACAGACTTTATGAGGATCATCGAGCCACCCCCACCAGCGGGAGCCCTCCTGCTCCCACTCTTCGTCGGTCCCAGGGAAGTCGGTCAGCCGCGCGAAGGTCCTCTCCGCTGGCGCGGCGAGCACGCGGGGCGCGCGGGCCCCGTGGGAGCCACGGCTACGGCCGTGGCGCGATCGGCCGCCCCGCCTGCTCCACACCCTCGCCCCTCTCCTGCTCCTCCTCCTCCTGCTCAGGCTCCTCCCACTCAGGCTCCTCCTCCTCCTCCTCCTCCTCCTCCTCCTCCTCCTTTTCCTCCTCCTCCTTTTCCTCCTCCTCCTCCTCCTCCTCTTCCTCCTCGTTCTCCTGCTCATCCTCCTCTTTCGCCTCCCCCTCCTCCCTGTCCCTGTGGGACCCCGTGTCGGGCCGAAAGCTGAGCCCCGCTGACGCACTCGAAGCGCCGGCCGTTTCCATCCTCAGCCGCGGCGGGGTGGCCGGCCCTGGCGTGGCGACCTTCAATGTGCAGGTCCGCGCGTTGAACCAGGCGGCCCGGGCCGCCGCCCTCCGCGAGACGGCGGAAGAGACAGGGAGCCCCTCATCGGTGGAGAACTTTGGCGGGAGCGATCCGCGCAGGTGCGGCATTCCAACCCCCCCGGTCGATGGAATGCGACGACCCCCCCCCCGAGCAACGCCCCTGGCCGATGCTCAGAGGGAGTGGAGAGAGCACCCCCCCCCGGGCGATGCTTCCTCCGTTTTTTGGTTTTTCCCGACGAGCTGGTCGCCGAGATGGTCCGACAGGCCCAGTCATCTCTCAGGACGCTCCATTTGCCGCGCGCGGCGGCGAAGGCCGCACAGGCACGGCCGCTTGGCCACCTGGGCGGTCTTCAACCTGGCGTTGGTCCACGGGCTTTGTGCGAGCACGTGGCCGCGGGAGATTGCACCGATTCGACAGCGAGGCCCTCTGGCAGTCAGCGACCTCGGAGCCTTGCGGCCCATTGGCTACGTGGACGGCCTCGAAGGTTTCTGGATGCCTCGTGGTTGGCCGTTACCCGCCCCGTGTTGGAGCAGTTCGTTGGCTCCGAACGTGCAGAAGGAGGCTACGATGCCACGCTCGTGGCGGTCGGGCTGCTCGTCGCGCCGGCGCCGAGAGGGCTGGGGCTCTGCACCGTGGTCCAGAAAAAAAAGACCTGCTGCATGGAGAGACGGCGTGCTGCTGCAGCTGCTCAGGGCAGGGCTCCCTGGGCGCCGGTGGCTTGAGGCGGCCGCCTCCCTCGGCGAGGAGAGGGCGCGGGTGCGAGCGGGCCCGCCGCTGGGCCAGATCGCGCCCCTCCTCGACTCGGGGGTGACCTCTGCGGCGCGCTGGTCCGGGCGCTCATTGCCGCGTGCAGGGCGGCAACTGCGCCGCTCGAAGCCGACCGGGGGGCGCGCCGCCGAGCTCCCTCGGTACTGTTGGGACCGTCCCGGCACCTGCCGCAAGTCGCTGGTGGCACCTCCGTCCTGCAGCCCGAGGACAACCAGCCTGGTGCGCGCGAGCGCCGGCCTCGGCGCTTTCTGCGCCACTTGCCGCCACCCTTCTCAGGACGGCCGCAAAGGGCCCGGCGGGCACGGCAGTATGGGCGCGCCCGCCGTCGACTGTTGGCCCTGGCGGCAACGTCGGCGGCGTCATAGGGGTCCACGCTGTCACCCCCGATGGAGGGAGGTCCTTGGCATCCCTGTTCTTTTTTTGTCCGCCCCTTAGGAGTTCTCTGGGGGCTCGCGGGTTCCCTGGGCCACGGACGCTGAACTCACCACGGAGCCACTTCTGAGCCGCGCCTGCGCCTCGCTACGGGACGGCGGGCGGCGGTCGACGGCTGCCCTCACGGACGGAAGATTCGGATTCTCCCCATGGTCCATGGTCAGCGGCCAGGTCCCTTGCCGCGTCGAGTCCGCAGCGCTATACGGCACGGAATTGCTGGCGAGACTCGCGCGCGGGTGGAAGGCGGCCACGGCGCAGCTGAACCGTGCGTACTATGACATGGCGAAGGCCTTACTTGGGCCCCCTCCTTGCGACGGGGGCTCTCTCTGGGCTTGCCTGAAAACACGGATGCTGACCAGAGTGGCCGTCAAAGTCGCCCAGAGCATCATCTTGGCATGGGCTCGGCTCGCCCGTCGCGCCGGCCGTCCTGGCCGCGCTAACTCTGGGCGCAGGGGCTTGGCTCCAGGACGCGGCGGCGGTGGCGCAAGGCATGGGGCTGGGGCCGCCGCCAGAGGCGCTAATGGTCGCGGCGGAGGGCGAGCACGTGGCGCGGCGCGGTGCGGTCCGCCGTGATCCTCCGCGTGCGCGAGGTGGAGCGTGAGCGGTTCTGCGAGCAGCTGACCAGGCTGAACGAAGCTGGGCTGCTATCCATTCAACAGCGTCCCCCTGCGGCAGGCGTGGCCTGCGGACTTTCGATGGGCCTCCTGGGGACAAACCCAGTGGCGACTTCACTGCACCTGGTGTATGGCGCCAGGTCTCGTCCGAGCTCCCCACTGCGAGCTCAGGCAGGGCGGTCACCCGCATGCCGATCACCTGCGCCCTGTGCGGGCGCGGAGCGCCAGGCCTGCATCACCTGCCTGCCCGATGCCAGGGCGCCGAGGCGCTGCGCGCTGCCCTGGTGGTGGCCCCCGCCTGGTCTGGCCGAGTGGGTCCTCGCGGACACGGACGACCCAGGGTGAAGGGGCCCTAGGACACACAAATAAATACACACAAATAAAAAGGTTCCCCATATTTTCCCATATTTTCTGGGGTTTTGTCTTCCCGCCCACTTCCCATATTTTCCCATATTTTCTGGGGAATCGGCGATTAATTGTGTCTGTGTGTTTTTTCCCCTCCTGACAGGGGAGCCTTCAGCGAAGGTCCATCCTGCGCGGCGCTGCTGCATGCAGCCTGCGTGTGACTGGTCAGTGGGCGGCCCTCGGTGCGGCGGCCGGGAGCCGGCCGCGCCTCGGCGCCTGGAGGCCTGGCGGCCAAGGCTTCTCTGTAAGAACGGTTTTTTGAAGGCAGATCTGCCTTCAAAAAACCGTTCTTACAGAGTAGACCGATTTTTTGAAGGCAGATCTGCCTTCAAAAAACCGTTCTTTTTTGAAGGCAGATCTGCCTTCAAAAAACCGTTCTTACAGAGTAGACCAGTCTTTCCTCCTTGCAGGTAGAGTGCGACTCCCGAGAAGTGGCACGGCGTGCGCTGGGCGGTTTACTGCCCGCCGGTGCGCTGCCTCCGGATCGCGCGGCGCTGCCGGCCAGCGGCTCTGGAAAGCAAAACGAGGCAACGGCTGCGTCCCAGGTCTGATGCGACAGTTGCGCCGATAGATGCCTCTCCTCCCTCCTCGTCGCCCTCCTCGTCGCCCTCCTCGTCCCCCCTCGCCTCTGTCGTGATCGCCCCCCTCCTACTCGTCGTCGTCCACCTCCTCCTCTTCCTCCTCCTCCTCCTCCTCCTCCTCCTCCTCTCCCTCCTTCTCCGCCTTCCTGCCTCGGTCGCCCTCCTCCCCTCCGTTCGTCGTCCTCGTCGCCTCCTCTCGTCTCTGTCGTCGTCCTCCGTCGCGGGGTGCGCATGGCGCTGGACCCCGGCCTGGCGGAGGCTCCCAGACGCGGGCAGCCTGGAAAGACACCGGGCCTCTCTGCCCCACTCCCTCCTCTGCGCCCGTCTCTCCCCTCTTCGCCCTCCTCCCCCCTCCCCTCCCTCTCAAGGTCGCGCTGGAACCTTCGGGTTGCCCGCGGGCTCCGACGCAGGCCGAGCCCGCCCAGCCCGCCCGACCGCTCTGGCGGCGCGTCCCGCCTTCGGGAGCAGGCCACTCGAGGGGTGGGGGGCTGCGGGGCCCGCCCAGCGTCAGGTCAGGCCCTGGGGGCAACGCAGCGCCAGCCGCACCCGCCGAAGCTGCACGGCGTCCGCCCAGGGTTCCGGCCGGGGTTGGGCGGCCGGGGTCGGGAGGGCGCAAGCGCGCAAGCAGCCGGCTCCCCCCCGGGGGCACGGGTCCGCCGACCCCTACTGCGTTGGCCCACGGCGCTCGCGGTGGGGCGGCCGTGGCCCCGATGGGCCTCTAATCGCATCAGCAGTCCACTTAGCAGTCCTCCCCCCTCCATCCTGCCTCCTTCCTGTTACGTCCTCCTTCTCAAAGATGCTGCTCATGCTGCCTCCCCCTTCTCCTCGCCATCCTCCCTTCGCATCCTCTCTTCGATGGGCGCTCCGAAACGATGTGGAACTACGCATCCGCATCCCCCTCATCCACCTCACCACTCCCCCTGACCCATGTCGTCGATCGCAACCCGATAGGCTTCAACTTCTCCCTGAACCCTACTCGTTGACTGTGATATTCACCGTCTGGAGGAGGACGCACGGTAGGCGGACGGCCGGCCGTGCTGAGGACTCATGGTAGGCCTGAACCGTACTCGTTGGCGGTGCAACAGATGGAGGAGGACGCACGGTAGGCGGTGCGAGAAGAGATTGCTGTGATCCCGCCGCCTCCGGCCTCCTCCTCCTCCTCGGCCCTTGCGGCTTTCCTTTCTTCAGAAGACCGACTTGTTGTCTGTCTACTGTCGTGCAACGAGTCCATCGGACCGTGGCCGCCTCCTCCCCCTGCTGCCGCTGCCTCCCCGTCCCCCTCGCCCTCCCTCCTCCCTCTGCGCGCGCGTCTCCGTCGAGCGGCGGACCTGCCCATCTCCTGCTCCTCGTCCTTCCCGCCCATCCCCCTCGTCCTCGTCCTCGTCCAACGCCCCCTCTCCGCCCGAGGGGCGAAGGAGCAGGGAAAGGGAGGGAGGGAACGGATGGGCACAGGGAGGTCGGAGAACCCCTGGAGCCCTCTCGGCGTCCCTGGGAACGCTGGGGTCACATTTGGCCAGGGCCACATCTAGTATCACCCTGAGGGGCCCCCCAACACATAATAAGGAAACCTTTGGGGGTCGAACGAGTTCGTCCGTTCCTCCTCCAATACCTTCTTCCCTTCGGGGAGGGATACCCTCCCCTCCCTCCCTGAGGTTTTTGATGGACGGGCCGCGAGGTGGCAGGGGATCCTTTTTCGCCCAAGATGTCTCAAGAGGGCCACCGGTACTCCAAGATAGCCTCCAAGGCAGTTGAAGATAGCCGAAGATGCTTCAAGATAGCTTCCGAAATACCTCCAAGAGGCCCGACGAGGGCCACAAGGCGGCTTCCAACTACTCTCGAAGCCCACCTCAGGACGAGATTAAGGCCGATGCCAACCACATCGGGTCGTTCAAGGCCCACTTGGACCTAATTGTAACCACTGGATGGAATGGGACTGCTCCCAACGTGAAGGATTCCTTTAGTAATCCTGCGAGGCGGATGCCGGATTACAGCCAGGGGAGCTCACTTCAGCTTTTCAATGCTTGAAGGATTCCTTAATTCCTGAGAGATCCTTGAGGATTCCTAAAAGAGTCCTGGGGACTCCTGAGGGACTCCTTCTGAGGGATTCCTGCGGATTCATGAAGGATTCCTAAACAGGATTCCGGAGGGATTCCTGAAGATTCCTAAGGAACCCCTGAAGGATTCCAGGGAGTTCCGCAAAGGACTCCGAACAAATGATTCCTAAAGGATTCCTGAGGATTTCAAGGGATTTCCAAAGGATTCCTGAAGGATTCCTGAAGGATTCCTGAGGGACTTCTGAAGGATTCCAGAAGACATCCGAATGGATTTTAAGGGGGGATCCCTGAAGGATTCCGAAAGGACTCCAAACGGGCATTCCTGAGAGATTCACGCGGGAAGGAATCGAGATGGATTCCTCAGGGATTCCTGAGGGATTCTTGGGGGAATCCTGAAGGAGCCAACCTCCGCTCTCCAGGCCCCCGAGAGTGTCGCCTTCAATGGAGGCGTCATGCTACCCTTGGAGGAAGCCTGGAGAACCCTTCGCAAGGGCAGGGGGGAGGAGACTGAACGACTCCTCGCCTCTCTCGCTGCTGCCACAGCTGAAGCGCTCGGCCTCCTTCCCCGCTCCTACGAGTTACTCGGGATGTCTAGGATTTCCGCAAGAATCGTGCGTTCCTTGTATATTCCTTCAACTTAAGTATATATACAGACACACATGCCCGCATCTGAAAACAATGCGTTGAAACATCTACAAGTGTTCACATACATGTATTGATGCACACATATTTTCACACACGCGTTCGCACATACATATGTGTATAGATATGCGTATGTACAGGCACTCAGACGGGTCTGTCATGGATGCCCTGGATGTGTAAGGGCTCGTACTTCTGCACTGGGGATCCAAGCCACTGCTAGCCTCATTTCGGCCCCCCACCCCGCGGGAATATCGGTACCTTTGTTCGTATGGCAATGTACCCATGATTCTGCCCCACCGTCCATCCGAAATATGAATCCATACCATCCCAGACACGCCGGTATCGACTCCCCACGTCGTCCTCTGCAACAAAAACCATGCGAGCGCACTCATGTATCACAAATCACCGGCTTTCAAAAATCCCGCACAAAAAAAAATGACGAATTGCGCACGCGCGCGTCGTCGCGCGCGCATGCCACAATTCTTCAAAAACCGAGGTGTCCTCTGGATGTCCAAATCGACGCCAAAAAATCATATGACAAACACGTGGCTTCGCAATATTTGTGTTCAAAAACATGTGCGCGCTTCTGCGATTTTTTTTTTTTTAAATCTGTTTTCAACATTATGATGAACTGCAGCCAATGGGGCTTCGCGCGCGGGCATGTCGAAATCGTTCGAACGCCCTTGCACGCGTGCTGTCGAGAGAATAATTTGCAACGAGTGGGACGACACGGACGCGCGCGCATCGTCGTGCGCGCATGCCGACATTCCTCCAACCATTTTCAGGTTGTAAGAGATGTCAAAAACGAGTGCCGCCAAGCCTGTTTTTTTTTGTCAATGGCATAGCCACAACACTTGCCAAAAAAGCCTGCGCTCGCGCCCCTGCGAACTCTCGAGAAAACCAGGGCTCCCGCAACACGTCCATTGAATTCTTGCCGAACGAGCCCCTCGCCCCGCACGCCAAAATCGTTCGAACGCTTCTGCGCTCGCGCTGGGGGGGGGCACGATCCGTGTCAGATTATACCATGCGGGCCACTCCCGCAAGTCGGCCGCGCGCGCATGCCGATCGCCACCCACAGGCTTCGTCACCGACGCGAAGGCGCGGTCATCGTAGTCGGCGTGATCAGCACCGGCGCCGTCGCTGGCCGTGCCGTCGTCGTCAACATCGTCACCAGCAGCGTCACTATCATCATCGTGTCTACTGTTGTCGACGTTGCCATAATACCGCGCCCGCCCAAGTCGCCGACTCGCACTGAAGTGCCCGCTGGGCTGTGCCCAGCGGTCAGTGCCACCGCGGCCGCGTCGGTCGCGCCAAGCTAGCTGGCCGCCGCGCGCAAGTGCATGCGCGGGTCGGCGCGGTCGCAGAGATGCACCATCCAACGCCAAGCATTCATGGCAATCGCCGCCGTTCGTATGTTGCAAGACAAGTTGCGGGTGGGAGGGTGGGTGGGATTTTTGCGCGAGCAGTGGAGTTGTCAACTGCGAGTTCCACCCACAAGTGAATTGTCCCACATAGATTACGCCAACTGCTTGCACCGCGAATATTCCACAACGCAGGTTGCACCATGCACACTGCACCATGTAGACTGGACAGCGTAGCTTGCATCCCTGCGATTGCACAGCATGGATTGCACAACAAAGACTGCACAAATAGAGTGCACATGATATATTGTACCACATAGATTGGACCACTTAAACCACTGCGCGCAGATAACACGACATAGACTTCACCATTTGGATTGCACCACGTCGATTGCACTGCACAATTTGCGCACCGCGTGAATTGCACCACGTGGATTGCGCCACGTAGCACCGCATACACTGCACCGCATGTACTGCACAACGTAGATTGCACAACATACATTGTACAACATAGATGTAGTGAACCGTCGATGTTCGGCCCGATCGCAACCGTTTCGGAATTCCCCTGGGGGCTCTAAGGAAATTCTCTGCATCCAGAAACGCTCCTGAGAACGTTGCCGGTTGCAACAATCGGCCCGATCACAACCGGTTGGGATCGGTCCGGAGTGATCGACGGTGGGCCCGAAGAAGGTTGCGATCCGCCCTGATCGCCCGTCACGACCCCCCCAAGAGGCCAAAATCCTTCAAACACGTACGGGAAAACCATGAGTTGTGCCTTCTCGCCTTTTCGCTCCCGATGCGCTTTTGAGGCCTCAAGATTGCCTCAAGCTGGTCCAAGAGAACCCCAAGATGGGGCCCAAGAGGCCCCTCAGACGGCCCCAAGAGCGCCCTAGAGAGGCCCACGGGCACCCCAAGAGGGCCCCAAGAGGCGATTTTGATGGCCCCAGGGGGAGACGCAAATTTGGGACCCCCCCCTTATGCAGGCGAGCCCAGAATCAAATCGATAAGTCGGACCAGCGATCGAAATGAATCGAATCGGCGGAAATCGGCAGCCAGGTCGGGAGGAGTCGAATCGGCGGAAATCGGCAGGCTAGTCGGCCTCAATTGAGAAATCGGAATCCAAATGGGAATCCGAAATCGAATCGAATCGGAATCGGGAACCATCGAAATCGAATCGAATCGAATCGGAGGAGTCGACATAAGCCCTGCCTTTTGATCGATGGCCTCAAGATGGCCCCAAGAGGCCCTTCAGAGCTCCCGAGGGGCCCCCATGAGGGCTCCAAGAGGGCCCCAAGCCCCCGCAAAAGAGCCCGAACATGACCATGCAACCCCCAAAAGAGTCCCAAGAGGGCTCCAATATGTGATTTTGAGGGCTCCGTCCTCGTGCTCGTTGTGCTCCTCCTCCTCCTCCTCCTCCTCCTCCTCCTCCTCCTCCTCCTCATCTATCTCGTTCTCGTCCTTGCCCTCATCGTCTTCCTATTTATTTTGCTCATCTTCCTCGTCGTCGTGGTCGTGGTCGTGGTCGTGGCCGTCGTTGTGGGCATGGTCGTGGCCATCGTCGTTGTCCTCCTCCTCCTCCTCGTCCTCCTCCTCCTCCTCTCGCCCCCACGCGGGCCCCAGGGATGACCCGAAGAGGCCCTCCAGGGCCATCCCCTTGCTCCCAAAGGTCTCTCTGCTCACATCGGTTGCCCGCTCTGCCTCACTGCACGTGTGTACCTTCGTCCCCATCTCCCGTCGACCATCACCGGCAGCGTCTGTGAGTGGGCGGGTGGGGATACGAGGAAGCCTCCATAGGCAGCGGGGCCAAACAAAAAAACGCTGGGCGACTGCAGAGCTGCCAACATCCCCTGACTCGCTGGGCCTCTCCAGGGTTTGCGCTCTGGCCAGGGCTCCGAGGCGAACCCGGCCGAGGCGACGAGGGCGCGAGGCCCCCCCAAAGAGGGCGAACGCGAGGGGAGGGCACGCGCATCGGCAGGGGCCTCTTCTCCTCCGGGAAGCCGGCGGGAGCCTGCGGAGCTCTCGGGCGCACCTCGGAGCGAGCCCTCGCCGTCAGAGTGCTCCCGAGCGGGGGAGCAAACAGGCAGCATCGAGGACCTGCCGCCGTGGGCGGCACGTCGGCGTGCCACGGACGAAGAAGCACCAGAGCGCCTGACCAACACCAACTAGGGCTCCCAACTTCGCGCTTCGCGAAGCGCGAAGTGCGAATAACTTCGCGCTCTCGCGCCGCCTCCCAGGGAAGAAGAGGAGGATGAGGAGGAATCGGAGCCAAAGCGCGAAGCGCGAATAACTTCGCGCCCTCGAGGGCGCCCTTGGAGGTGGAGGCTCGCCCAGGAGAGAGGCTCGGGCAGTCGGCCACAAACCCCGGGGGAGGCGCATCGCAGAAGCTGCGCTGCAACCCCCGTTTTGCAACACGGTGCGGCCTTCACGGGCCGCACCGTGGGGCCGCGACGGCCCCCCCTATATTAAAAGCTCGGCGCCTTTTTTCTGGTCCATCTTCTCAGGGCAAGGCTCGAACTAAACGGTGTTTTCCAATTTCGGTTTGTTGTCATATTCCCTCGTTCTGTCTGCGTTCCGCCTTTGCTGCGAAACTAACTCAAAACCCAATCTCCAGCATCTGGCCAGACCTAGGACATAATGACATCCTTCACGAACATGAGACCCTCCGCTGGCCAAACTGAAGAACATTCGAGAACACCCTCCCCCAAGATCCACAAGAACATCCGACAAGCACGAAGAAAGGTACCTTCCCCAAACCGACCTCGATCTTACACTTCGGTCCGACCGGACCCCTTTCAAAAATTGACAAGGCCCGAAATCACCGAATTGCAAGAACCAACACGCCTCTCCGTCACTCTCCGCTCCTCCTCCAAGCGGGAAGGCGGTGGCGATGGTAAGTCCGCAAACAGTATGACGTCGTAGTTGTTCCACGCCGCGCCGCGGTCCGCCAAAGGTTTGGACCCGTTCCAGGGACCAAATGTCCGTCCCGAGTCTGAGTCGGTGTTTGACGGTCTAGGAGCCTGGGCAGAGCACCCGAATTCCAAACAAGGGCTCACAACCGTCCGTTGCTCACGATGAGACGAGGTCAGGAAACCGACTACCTACCAGACCACCCCAACCCAATCCGAAGACCCGAATGTGACCCGAACTTCGGGTTTGGGGGGGGTACGTGTTCCATGCGCTTGTTTAACGTTCCCCGACCCCCCCACACATTGGAAATGGAAAACAAATTGAGGCCTTCCGAGGACTAAGAGAGTGAGGAGGAGGAGGAGGAGGAAGAGGAGGAGGAGGACGGGGAGGGGGAGGGGGAGGAAGAGGAGGAGGAGGAGGAGGAGGAGGAGGAGGAGGAGGAGGAGGACGAGGACGAGGACGAAGGGGGATTAAATCGACGAGGAGGAGGATGAGGAAGGGGTGGTTTGGCGGGTGGTGGGAAACGGGTGGCCGATGCTTTTCCGCTGGTCCCCGCCATGCCTCCACCTTGCAGCGCGAGGCAGCGACGGAGCTCGCGCGCGACAGCACGGGGTAGGAAATGGCCCCCGTCACGCAGACACCACCAGTGAGGGGAAAGCAGGGGAAGGAAGCAGGAGAGAGGGAGGATGATGATGAGGACTCGGTCTACAAGGCAACTATACTGCCTGAATTCCCCTGGCTCTGTGTGTGGATATGGAATATGGAAGTCTGTCGGCATCAGTTCCGCTAGCTTGTGTCAGACGTGCCCTGGTGTGTCATTCAATTTGGCGTGTGTCTCGTTCAAGTTGGGGGAGAGAGAGAGAGAGAGAGAGAGAGAGGTGGAGGAGGAGTAGGAGAAATGAACGGATTCAGAAAAAAATCGGCACATCTGCCTCTTCATGGTCGCGAACTCTTTCTCATCATCCTCCATGGCTCCCTCCGTGACCGCTGCCGCCAATCAGAGATTCTTTGCAACGGTTACACCCTTGACATGCTTTCCGTTAGGCCAATTCCGAACAATATCAAGGAAACCTGTCTCGTCTGAACCGTCTAGCGGGTAGTCTTCCTACGACGTGAATTAGTAACTCCTGTGGCCGAAGCCACTTTCATCCCATTCAAGGTGCCAATTCCTGCCAATCCTGGTCCGTCCCGTTGCAAAATCCATGGCGTCGTCTTTTGCCGCGTCCGCCTCGGACCTCTGCTCCCTGGCTCAAACCTTGCACTTCAGATGTAAATAACTGCAACTGTTAATGTTGGGTGACCCGGGCGTTTTATGACAACACTGCTTCGAATCGTTGGACCAACCATCGGTCCGCACCAAGATGACGTTGGTCGAGATAGCCCCAGACGGGAAGGGGGACGGCTATGCCATGCCGTACTCCTCCAAGATCTCGGCCTAACCAGTCCACTGCTCCAATTGCGACGCAGCTTCGCCTACCTCTTTGGATAAACATGGGCGCATGGAATGATTCACCTTCTAAACTCACGTTGCCCCAATAAACGCGGTCTACAACTTGTGTGTTATGGCATGCTGCACATGAAATGCCTCCGTGTAACCCTTCGAGCTTCCACCGTCGTTCAACCATTTCTAACTTTCCTGTTCGCACGCTCGGGCCATGTATCATCGTCGAACTGTTGCACGCTTGCCGCTGTGAGCTCGCAGATACATGTAGTGTCGTCATGTAAGTGCGTGCAGGTGAAGGCGTGCTGCATTGCTGCTGACTTCGGTAATGTGGGCAATAAGCACGTAACTATGTAACACGCCATTTGATGTCTACAGCTTCGACCTCAAGTGCTTTAGCGCGTTGCTGGTGCCGTTGTTGACCTGGGCAGGTGCGTAAATAAACTATTTGTCCAACTCCCTGAACTCTGCCCGGTCACCTGCCTGCGAAGAGATTGTGTTGAGTTGTCGATTTGCGCTCACTGGCAAGCGTCCAATAATAGCCATGACTCAACCGTAGATGTTGGTCCAGCAGTGTTCACCGTGCCACGACGGATCGGCGCAGATCGCCCGTGCTCAGCTCATCTTGTGGCCCTCTCTCGATCTCGGCGACTCTGCCTCTATCCCTGCTTGTCTCGTCCACATGCCGCACGTCGCGACTGGTGATGCTGACCCAGGCTGCGCTCGTCGTGCCGTTCATCTGCAGAACGATGTACTCTGCTCTGGTGGCCTCGCGGCTTTTTCGTGACGCGCTCACCGACTGAACAATTGAACGAAACCTTCACGTTTGGCTTGGAGGGCTGATTCAGCATAGGAAGCCATCGTTGTGCGCGCTCTGGCAGGACTCAGAAAAGTTTGCGAGGTGCAAATCGCCCCTCGTTCCCGATCGATGGCCACTCCCGCTCCCGACATGATGATCTGGCTCCGAGTCGAGTCATCAGCACAACGCTCTTTGCACAAGGTCGTTGCTGGTAACAGCGCGCTTCGAGTTGAATGCCGACTGACTTGAGATATGTGGCCAAACGATTCTAGCATTATATGACATACCTCATCACAAGAGGACAAGAAAGCCAGAGGGGGGCATCAACAAACTGGAAGAAGAAGACTAATAATGATGTGAATACGCAAGGGGAAAGAAGCGGACGGGGGGGGGGCTGAGGGGGGAGAGGAGATAGAGGAAGAGGAAATAGAGGAGGACGCTGAAGAACAGAAGGCGCAGTGGGGGGGTGCGGAGAGGAGGAGGAGAAAGAGGAGAGAAAGAGAGAAGGAAAGAGAGACAGAGAGAGAAAGAGAGGTGAATGGGAGGGAGGAAGGGGGAGGACGGAGAGGACAAGACAGAGATGAGGCGGAGAGCAGAAGAAGAATGCAAGCACCGCTGGGGAGGTGCAGTCGCGAATGGGACTCTGGACCGCGCCGCGTGGCACAGAAGGCTGCCACACGCAGCGTGCTGGGGCCCCGCGCGCGTCTCCGCGCGCGCTCTGCGAGAGCGCGCCGCCCTATGAAGCGGCGCTGCCCCGAAGAGACCGCAGGCAGTGCGGCAGGGTTCCAGGCGGGTCGGACGGAAGGGCTGAGCAGGGACCGACCGTCCCGGCACCCCCACAGTCCTGCCACGAAGTGCTCCTGGAACCCAAACATGTTCTAAGAACAAAAGACCATGTTCTTAGAACGTAGACCCGACGTGAGAAAACAAGACAGACTCCGCCAGAAGAGTTCTGAGCACACTCCGTGGAAACCACAAAAAGGATCTCAGAACACTGTTCGGCGGGGCTGTGGGCGAGCTGGGGCCTTTCGCCACTGCTTGAAAGGGGGGGTCAGTAACAGGGAGTCGCTCCTCCTCCCTCCTCCTCCTCCTCCTCCTCCTCCTCCTCCTCCCTCCTCCTCCCTCCTCCTCCTCCTCCTCCTCCTCCTCCTCCCTCCTCCCTCCTCCCTCCTCCTCCTCCCTCCTCCCGGCGCCTCCCGGCGCCTCCCGGCGCCAAATGGTATCGAGGAGGCCGTCGGGCGGCGGGGCCGAAGCCAGCTGCACGCAGCAGCAGTCGCAGCCCTCCCTTCCCCTGTCGACCCTTTGTCGTCCAGCCCGACCCTTGCCTCCGACGATTTACCGGCCTCGAACGTATCCCTATCCTAAGATTGACACGCCAAAAGGCGATGACAATCTTGGAGATTCGCCCCTTAAAGAATGAGGGAATCCCTAAGACTGGCATCGTGATGAGGAGGTGCCCAGCGTAGGGATAGGGATGTGTTCCAGGCTGGTATACGATGTTTGGCTTTGAGAGCACAACTCCCGATCACTTCGGCCGTCCCGCCTGCCGCGGCCAGCAGGCCCCACTCCACACCAGGAACAGCCCTCTAGGCCTGAGTGGTTTAGAGCGTTTCCTCTGCCAACCCCCTGCTTCCCCTGCGGGGTTGATCACTGTAACCTATAAACAAACACGCCCTCCCCACCCGACCGGCAACAAACCAGAAACGATGCCCCCCCCACGATCCCTGCCAATGAACATTGCAAAATGCGGCAGAGTCTGCATCATGTTCGAGCACCCCAGCATAACTTCATATTGTTTTTGACAGGGACGGCACGTTGCCTAAGGTGTGCGGGCCCACCATCCCTGCCGAAACCCATTGCAAAACGCACGTTGCGGCGAAATCTTGGACCATGCGCGGGCGTCCCGCGATAATATTGCACTTACTTGACAAGGATGATGGGGACGCAGCGCACCTAGCGGGTGTCGCGAACCTGACTGGCGTCTACATTGGTTCCCGATGGTTGTCGATGCGGCGCCTGTCCGTGCTAAGACATGTGTTGGAAGGGCGGGTGGGAGTAAGCGAGACGGCTTGGGATTTGTGGGTAGCTTGACCCCTCCCCCCTATCCCCTCCCCACGACCTGGATTGGAGGGTTCGCGAGCGGCTGGAGCGTCCAATTTGGCTTCAAAAGGGCCTCAGAGCCGAAGACGACTCCAAGATGGCTCAAGATGGCGCAAGATATCTCAAGATGGCCTCAAAGATGCTCCAGGAGGTTTCAAGACCGCCGCAAGACAGCTGGTAGTGGCCACCAAGAGGCCCAAATACTTCAAACACATAAGGAATTTACATGTCGTTGTGCCTGCTCGCCGTTATGCTTTCGACAGCCCTCCGAAGCCCCAGGGGAGCTCCCAGAAGGCCCAAGAGAGCCACAAGAAGAACTCATGAGGCCCAAGAGTGTCCCAAGACGGCCTCAAGAGCACCGAAGAGCGCTCCAAGAGGGGGGTCCAAGGAGCTCTGGAGGGGCGATACCAACTGATGCTCCCCCCGATGTCGATCGATCTCCTCCAAGATAGCACAAAGATGGTTGGTGCCTAAGGCTCCCAAGAGTGCCACAGCCACAAAAGGACCCCAAGAGGCGCCCAGGATGCCCCAAGAGGCGCACAGGATGCCCCAAGAGGCTCCCAAGAGACCCCCAACATGCACCATGAGGCCCCCCGAGGCACCCAAGACGCTTCAAGGGGCCCCTGGGACCGCCAAGATGCCCCAAAGTCGCCCAAACAGGACCCCACGAAGCTATCAAGAGACATCCGAAAAGACTCCGACAGGCATCCAAGAGGCCTCTGGCCGTGCTGATCGCCCTCCTCCTCCTCCTGGTCCTTCTCCTCTTTTTCTTATGCCTATTACTCCTCCTTTCTCCTCCCTCCTTCCCCCCAAGATGAGTACGGATCCTTCCCACACCAGCGTTGAGCGAGCGACACTCCGCCTCTGCCTACTCCCCCCTGCTCCTCCGAGTCCTCTTTCATCCTCCCCCTCTTGGGGTATGACAGCTTCCCGAGTCCGTTATTCCACTACATGCTCCTCAACATCCCTGATCAGGCCAGCTCACCTGGGGATCGCTTCTGGATGGTCTGGTGGGGTTACGCGAGGCATCTAGGCTAATCTCGTTTGTCCGCAGTACCCAGACAAAGGACGACAAAATCGATGGCACGACCATGTGCAAGGCACGAACATCATACGCATACAACACATACCTCATCTATCGGCAAGTCGACGCTTGGCCCCACCGCCTCCCCACACGGCGAGGTCAAATCGCCGCAGCCCGGTGGAAACTACCAAGTGTGTGTGTGTGACTGCCACCAATGCGGCGCGCCATCGGTTGCGCGACGGTCCATGGGTTGGCATGAGGCGCACCATTCACATGTTGCTCCATGTTTAGCTCCGTCCATGGCCTGCTCCATCCGTGGGTTGCGCCCACGGAATGGGCGTTCCATGATTTGCGCGATCCTTGTGTTGGGCCATTCGCGGGTTGCACCGTTTGTTGTGTCGTAGGTGGTGTCATCCGCAGGGTGCGCCATAGGCTGCGCCTTAGGCTGCGTGCTCGGCCGTCGAACAGAACCAGCCCAACGATTGGTTGCGCCATAGGTGTGCGCACTTGGCGGCCGAGAATCAAACGGCCTGCTACCGCTTGCGCACTCGGCGGCCAATAACAAATCGGGCGTCCGTTGGTTGTGCCATAGGCTGCGCACTTGGCGGCCGAGAGTAAAACGGCATGCTTCGAGTTGCGCCATAGATGGCACACGCGGCGGCGAAGAACATGGAGCGATGCGGAAGGGGTGCGGGATCGTCCTGGGGGGGGAGGCTCCATCCAGCCAGGTTCCCAGACGCTCCGCTGGAGGCCCTGGACACCCGAAATCAGTTATCCTCCAAACACATTTTTTTCCACTGATTTTGGGGAGATCCCGGGATGCTCTAAAAGATCCTCAAGATCGCCCCAAGACGCCCAACACATCCCCCTATGAGATTCGCACGACGGCCCGATGGAGAGGGCCCAAGAGGCTCCCAAAACGACAGAAGCGTCTCTTAAAGAGAGCCACGAGGGAAAGTCGAACTGGTCCTAGACACTTTCCCACCAACGTAGCCCCTACAGGCTAGAGCCGCGGGCAAAGACGCTGGGCGTGGCACGGGCGCCGCTCAGGTCATGGGGAAAACGGGCGCCACCGCGCGTTGGCGGTCAGCCCGTTCCGCCAGCGGCGTCCCTCCCCGCCCCCGCACAGCACTCTCCTGGCCGCGGCTGGTGCAGGCGAGGAAGAAAAGGCGCAGGCGAGGAGAAAAGGATGGGGGGAAGAATGCTGCGTTGCATCGTCGGGGGGCCCTGTCTGTCCCATCGCTCCCCTTTTCGCGACGAATCCGCGTTCAATCCACGAATCCGCGTCGAATCGGCGTCGAATCCGCGTCGAATCCGCTTCGAATCCTCGTCGAACCCGCGTCGGCTACTAGAGAAGACCGCAGCTGAAAGGACAGACCAAAAGAACGCGATTATGCAATGCAAAGGATGAAAGGAAGCTCCAAACACACACTGACGGCGGTGGACAAACCTCCCTTTAGCAAACCTCCCCTTAATGACAACGGCCTAGGACCGAAAACGACTGACCTGGACCCGCAAAAATGACGGCCGCGAGCCGAAAACGGCCAATTCCATAGTCGACGTGTAAGGGCAGGAAGTCTATTAACCTCCGACGCTGGTCCAAGACGAGAATGACGCCATGCTGCGGGCACGTTTTAGGACTTCCGCCCGGGATAACCGGAAAGATATGGCATCCTGCAAATATCTGGCGTCTTGCTCCACTGACGGTCGTGCGCTCCAGGCCCACGTGCCCCTCTCGCCTGCCCGGCTGGGCCTTCAGGCACGCACTGGAAGACTCATGCCGCCGTGCCTCCGCTGGCCTGTCCAAGAATTCGGCCTCGGCTACGCGTTTGGACATCGAGCGACAAGAAATTTGGAACGGGCGATCGCCGCGTAGATCGTCTGGGCCCCCCATCTGACCCATCCCCCTCTTGATCCTCCTCCTGATCCTCCTCGTAATCCTTTTCCTCCTCTTCTTCTTCTTTCTGTTTGTTTTTTTTTTCTCTCTCTCTCTCTCTCTCTCTCTCCCTCTATATTTCGCTCTCTCTCTCTCTCTCTCTCCCTCTCTTTTTCTCTCGCAGCGCTCCACAACGCTGCCTCTCCGGAGCCGCGCCGCGCCGCGCGCGCGAACGAGCGCGCGAGGCGCGCCCCCCGCAACCTCGGACGCCGCCGTGTCCGCGTCTCGAAAAAGAGGGGGAGGATAATGGCTCCGTCCAACCAATCCCACAATCTTGAAGCATGAAAAGTTTGAAGAGGTTCGACGAAGAGGGAGAACGAGAGCGTGCGTGCCACACGCGTCCGTGCCACTCGACACGTAGCTTGTTGCATGTAGCGGTACATGTAATCCACTTCCCCGTAGCGCGGTCGACGACATAACCTTGCGGGTAACGCTGGGGACGAAGTAGTGTGCAACGAAGGACGCTGGTACAGAATGCAAGTCGAGACGCAAAAAAAAACCTGGAAGTACGGTGCTTGAAAGTCAATCGTAAGCGTAGGCTGGCCACTTCAGGATGGGCGCTCACTAAGTACACCTTCCGGCGGCATCGATGGTCAGTGTATGCCCACGCGTGTTGTACGGATGGATCGCCGACGGTAGAACCATGGCTTTGCAATATTCTGCGAAGTATTATTCAGCAGCCGGGGTACCTTTTTTGATCCGTTGGGTCGAACGACTACTTCGATCCACCCGTCGATGTAGGTTGTAAGTCGTCGGGTAGCTCCTAGATTCCGTGGTGGATGTAGAGCACGTTCAGCTGCGTATACGTATCTGGCGTTTGATCGTGCTCTGGGAACCCTGGCCCGCAGATCTCAGCGACGACAGCGTCCTTGAGGAGGTCGATGGCCGGTGTAGACGTATCGGGGAAACGTAAGACCCGGGTACGGGGGACTCGGAAATCCCCCACGAGGTCGTCAAAAAAATGACGAGGCCGAGCCTGCATTTTGACGAGGCCTCCCGCTGCAGACATCCCGCGAAACTCCTCCTCGTCAAAATCCGAGGCGCGGTCGTCAAAAAACGATGGCGAACCCGAGTCCCGGCAAACCCGGGTCTTACGCTCCCCCGAACGTAGCGGCGTCCAGTGTGATGTGTGTAACTTCTTTGGGGGTCAAAGGCATCGGATAGTAGGAGCGCGCCGCTGATATCGAATGGTGGCTCCACAATGATGTAGTTGCGTGACGGCATCCAATGACCATCGTACAGCGTTAGCGGTATGCATTGCCCGTTGGGTTACGCGGGCTTGACACCGCAAAGGTGGTTCCGCGCGGAGTGGACATCCGCGATCTTGAGGTCGGTTTTATCATCCGCGCCGTGTGAAATTCGGCAGGCAGCTTGGACCCACTTGCTGCGTAGCTTAAACCGCGTAACCCGATGCCCGCCTTCGCGAGCACAATTCGTTGATTGCTGGCAACACCATCGGCATTCTTAGAGCCGAACATGCCAATGCAGGCGGTAATTGTGTATGTTCCTGCAGTTGTAGCCAGTTTCCTGGGCAGGTCGTTAGGGTGATCGTGACATGTACTTGATGAACACCTGATGCGGCAGTGAACTGTAACCAAATAGGGGGCATGAGAAACAGAAAGGCTGGCTGGCGGGTCCCGTACGTGGGGCAGAAGCCAAGCAGTGCGCAGGGCGTGGCCATCGTGTCCTCGCGGCAATCCTGCGGTGTCGGAGAGTCAGCGGAGGCACAACTCCTATACCAGCGGCACCACGGGCGGCGCGAAGTGCACGCGCGCGCAGGGAAGGGCACGCATGAGCCCTTTTGTCCGCGCGCGCTCATGAGAGAATCCAAGCTAGTAAGGTCCGCTGCAGTACACCCTGCGAAATGCTTAAGAAATCATGGGTTAAGAAATTCATAGTCTCAGAAATTGAATAAAACCCAGAACTTCTATCAAAATCTTGGGATTTACATTGAAACGTTAAGAATAATCGGGACTCTGGCCGAAAACTTAGGTTTTCTTAAGCATCGCATAAGATGTAGTAGGAGGGTCGTTGGTTTCACTCGGGAACAAGCAAGCACGCCCCCGGCAGGTCGCAGAGAAAAGCACGCACAGCCTGGGGGGAAGTACCGGAAGCAAGCCTGGGAGCGCGCCCGCGCAGTGCAGATTGCCGCAGATGCAACTCGTATCCTTCATCAAGTCTCCGGGACCTTCGTGTCCGCGCAGGCTGCGCTGTGCTTGTCCTCTTGCACTCTTTGACGATGCCTTCGAAGGAGGCGGCCTCCTTGTCGCCCTCGGTCTTGTCGTCCTCGCCCTTGCCAGTGTAGTGCAGCTCGAACGCGATCTCCACAAATTTGACGAGCTTGCAGGATGGCGCGGGCACAGCCTTGAAAGCCCCTTGCGGTGCAGTCTCGCCGCCCTCGCAGCGCAGCCTGATGTAGCAGTAGACCTCGTCATTCTGGAGCGGGTCGTAGCGGGGCTCCGTCGTGGAATTGAGGCGGTCTCAGTCCTTTGCGCAACTGTACACCACGATCTGGTCCAGCTAGCGCACTGGGCAGTCCTGGGGCAGCTCAAAGAGCTCCGAATTCAATGTGTTGTAGTAGGGATTGGCACTGCGACGCCGTCGCTGCCCAGCTCGTGTCGCCGCCGGGCTCGTAGTTTTCCCTCCAGCCCTGATCCCCCAATTCAATTCTAGGTATGGCTGCCCACGCGGCCGCTGCTGTCCAACAGTATGACGCTGGGTTCCCAATTGCTGGTAGCTTCCGTAAGCTGTTCCCACTAAAGTTGTCGGACGTGGGGTGGCGTGTGCATGTGGGGAGCGTGTAAGACCATGATGGCATGCTTGGAGCATAGGGCATCCATGAGTACCACAAGGAGCCGAGATGACTGCAGTTGTAAAGCATGTGTATGTCTTTGGAGTAGAGGTCTCCCCTTCCTTCGCTGGCGTAGCTGCTTCGTACTGATGAAGAAGCTGCAGCCGCATTGGCCGTGTTCAGCTCCCGAAGGTGAAGATACAGCGATGAAGCCTTAGTCAAATGTTTGTCCTTGCTTGCGTCTCGACTCCTGGATGCCCGCGAATGTTAAAGCGTCCACGTGGAGCTGGGTACATAGTTGGGAGACCTTCACTCTGTTCATAGTTTTGCGAGGTAGTGCATCCTCGTCCTCTTCCTCCTCCTCCTCCTCCTCCTCCTCCTCCTCCTCCTCCTCCTCCTCCTCCTCCTCCTCCTCCTCCTCTCTCGCCCTCACCCACAAGTGAACTCATCATGATGATCCTCCTCATCCTGATCCTCCACCACCCATCCTCCTCATCATCTTGTCCTGGTCCCCCCCCCCCCTCCGAGTTCCCGTTCCCCCAAATGGTTGCCCGCCTCATCCTTATGGTCTGCTCTGCTCAACCTGCTGACTCACATCATCTTCACCTGTTACTGATGAAGATATGTATCATTATCATTCACTCCCTCCACATCCTCCGCCATCATCCTAGTCACTAGTCCTGCGTCGTCACCCACTTTCCTGTACATCTTCCCCCTCTCCGTCTCCGTGAAGCCCCTGGACCGCAAGGACCGGTCCCCTCCTCTTCGTCGACGACGAGAAGCACGACATCTACCCGACGAGAACGACGACTACGAGGCCGTCCATGACAACGACACGGCCGACGACGTCGTCAACTTTGTCGGCGAAAACGAGGACGTCGACGTCGTGGTCGATGCCTGCGTTGTCGCCGACATCGTCGGCCGACGTTGACGGCGGCGTTGACGACGACCACCGCGGCGGCGGCGACCCCGCCGGCGCGGGCCCAGGGGGTCTCCGAGCAGCTCGCTGAGCTCGTCCTCGAGGAGACCTCTCGGGGGGCCGGGCGAGCTCCAAAGCCGCAGGGAAGCCCCGAGATCCCAGCGACCAGGGCAGGGAAGGCGGGAGTCGGGGAGGAGGGAGGGACTGGGAACGGTGGGCGTGGCTTAATGGCGGGGGTCATAAAATGGGGGTCAGAAACGGTCCCCTTTCGCGCCCACTTCGGGCCCATCCGGAGCCCCAGGGGGCTCGTTCAAGCACCGTCTGGGTACCTTTTCGGACCACCCTCACCACTCCCCCATTTATCGCCCCCTCATTTCCGAACGCCCAAGAACGATGCCTCGTGGTATCCTCCGGGTGGGCGCCGAGGGCGACCAGTCTGTCGGAGCAGCTTGTCATCGCTCGGACGCCCATTCCCCATGCACTGTTGGGTGTCGCCCGTGCTGTTTTCCCCAACCATCCAAGGGTGTTGGGACCGCGTTTTGAAGAGGCAGCGACCCGCGTCCCCTCCTCCTCTTATCCTCGTCGGACATGCGGGTACATCCTTTACACGCTTCGTGGCCCCTTAAACGGCTCCAACAAAGGCCCAACTGGCAGCGCCCGCATGGCGACACCGTATCCAACCCTCACTCGTCGGCGAGCGAGGAGGGGAGGTGAGAAGGAGAAGGCCTTCTCAGAAGGCGACGGGGCTTCTCGAAAACCCTAGCGGCTTCTGAGAAGCTCTTTGTGTCTTCCGGGAAGGCTGAGCAGACTTCTTAGAAGGCTGGGGTACTTCCGAGCCTTCTGAGAAGGCCCGCCCCTTCTCACTCCCCTCTTGGGCTCACCGCCGACGCACACGCTTCGTGGCTCCATACGGAGCTTCACCGAAGGCCAAAACGGCAGCGCTCGAATGGCAGCACCGCGCCCAGTTCGGCACACCTCTCAAACGCGTCGTGGACCCATAGGGAGCTCCACCAAAGGCCAAAAAGGCAGCGCCCGCATGGCGGCACCGTGCCCACATCGGCACATCCCTCACCACCAGATGCCCCAAGGGCATCGCCCGCATGGAGGCGCCGCGCTCATTTCGCCAGACCCCAAACACATTCCGTGGCCCCACTGGGATCTCCACCAAAGGCGCAAATGGCAGCACCCGCATGGCGGCACCGTACCCAGTTCGGCACACCCCTCAAACATTTCGTGGCCCCATGGGAGGCTCCACAGAAGGTCCCAGTGGCAGCGCCCCCATGGCGGTACCGCACTCATGTAGGCACGCCCCGTCACACGCTTCGTGGCCTCATAGGGAGCTCCACCAAAGGCCCACATGGCAGCACTGCGCCGCACCCACATGGCAGCACTGCGCCAATTTCGCAATACTCCGCACACGGTTCGTGACCCCATACAGAGCTTCACCGAAGTCCCCAGCGGGAGCGCCCGCATGGCGGAACCGCACCCGTTTGAGCACACACCCTTTACACGCTTCGTGGCCTCATGAGGAGCTCCACAGAAGGCCCTAGTGGCAGCACCCGCATGGAGGCACCGCACCTATGTCGGTACACCCCTCACACGCTTCGTGGCCCCATGAGGAGCTCCACAGAAGGACCCAGTGGCAGCACCCGCCTGGAGTCACCGCACCTATTTCGGCACACCCCTCACACGTTTCGTGGCCCCGTGAAGAGAGCTCCACCGAAGGCCAAAAAGGCAGCGCCCGCATGGCGGCACCGTACCCATTTCGGCACACCCCTCACACGCTTCGTGGCCCATAGAGGGCTCAGCCGAATGCCCAAATGGCAGCGCCCGCGTAGCGCCACCGCGCCCATTTCGGCACACCTCCCATTCGCTTCGTGACCCCATGGGGAGCTCCAGCGAAGGCCAAAATGGATGCGCCCGCGTACGGAGCTCTACCGAAGGCCCTAGTGGCAACACCCACATGGCAGCATTGGGGCAGCTCCACCAAAGGCCCACGTGGCAGCGCCTGAAAGGCAACACCGTGCCAATTTCGGCACAGTCCTCACACGCTTCGTGGCCCCACAAGGAGCGGCACCGAAGACCAAAAAGGCAGCGCCCGCATGGCGGCACCGCACCCGTCTCGGCACACCCCTCAAAAGTTTCGTGGCCTCGAAATGAGCTCCACCGAACGCGGTCGGTGCCTACAACGCGGTACACACAACTGCATATGGTTGGGTCTTCCGCCAGGACGATTTCTCAATGTTGTCTTATTCTAGAGGCTGCAAGACTGTCCAGATGCTCGGGCCCTGACCAAGCCGAGAAGATGCACTCGTCCGATCGATGCCAAGGGAGCGCGAGGGGGGGGGGCGGGAGAGGGGGAGGCGCGATGGGAAGAGGAAGAGGGAGGGTCGTCTCCGAGCTCCCGTTGCCGGATTGCTGCGGGCGAGGGGGCGGGGTGGGGGAAGGGAGAGGGAGGAGCGGCACCCGTGCGAGCGGAGACGACTGGGGCGATGAGGAGAGGCGCTCCGCACCGCAACCGTCGCCGAGCCGCTCACGAGGGCAGAGGGCTGCACGTTCCCGAAGGAGAGAGGGAAGACTGGTACCGCGGGTTCGTGCCGTGCCGACTCCAGGCGTTGGTTCCTGAAACCGCAGGCGGTTCCCGAAACGTGAGATCGTTCAAAGCCGACCCATTATGGATCGCTCGCGGCGTTCAACTTTGAACCCCCGCGGCAGGGCTGCCGCCGCGTCGACACGACGATAATCTACCGTGTCTGGGCAGCGGAGCGAAGGGGGGAGGGAGGCGGAGTGCGGGCGGAGCAGCACGGGGACGAAGAGGGATTGAAGCAAGGGTGGGGGGAGAGGGGGCGGAATGCGGGCACCAGGGAGGGCTGGGTGAAGAGGAAGAAGGGGGGCAGGGGGGGAAGGGGGGGGAGGGTGACGAACGAACAACACGCACCCGTAGGGAGGACGGAGGGGGCCATGGGTGCGTGCTGCCAGATGAGGGTCCCCGCTCGAACGGAACCCTCCCCCGCGGTCCGACAACCCGCACCCATACTCCATGGGTACTCCAGATTTCGTAATAAAAGGGAGGGGGTCTGGACCCTCCAAGACAAGCCATTTCAGACCTCCCCCGTGGGAGGACCCTCCAAAACATCGTCCCCAGACCCCCCCAGGCCCCCCAAGATAGCCTGGAAGAGACCCCCCCCCGAAATGAGACCCCCTCCCTTTTATTACGAAATCTGGAGTACCCATGGCACACCCACACCCCGCCGAGCCTCCATATGGGTCTGGGTGTGTGTTGTCCGTTCGTCAGGGAGGACGGCGGAAGGGGGGGGGCGGCAGCAAAGGGCGGCACGGGGCGGGACGGAGGACGGGGGACGCAGGGGGAAGCGGGGCAGAAGGGAGGAGGCGCCGCCGCTCCGGATCCGCCCGCGCGGGGGAGGGGACCCATGCTCGGTTGCTCCGGGGCGGGCCCCGCGGCCACGGCCGCGGCGACCAAGGCGGCCTCCCCGATGGGGTCCGGCAGGTCCCGCGGCCCAACAGGGTCGTCGTCGTCCAGCGTCGTGCGGGTCCTGGGGTGGCGCCAGGCTGTAATGGCCTCCCCGCATGCTGGCCAGGGCCAGGCCCAGCCTGAGCCCAAGATCGGTGATCGCACGCCCTCCTTGCCTGGCCCGGGAGGGCATGCGCACCGATCGTCGAGCGTGCGTGAACGGGGGGGGTGTCAATGATTGAACGTGGGGTGAAGAAGCGTGCGCCTTTCCTGCGCATTTGGGGCCCACGCCAGGGGCCGTGTAGGGCCCCCTAGTGTCACTTTCCGACGACCCTGGATCCCCTACGTTTCTTGCCCCCTCCGCTGCGGTCCGCTCCAGATCCTGGGCACTGGGACGAGCCTGGCAGGGGTCGGTCCAATCGAACAACAGACACAGGTTCGGAGATCCGCGCGGATTTCGTGGTTGGGCGTTTGACCCCACTTCCCGGCGCGCCGAAGCGCCGACAGGTGGATCCAGAGCCGACCCAGGATATTCGAGGGAACCTTCGACAGTTTATGCTTATGAAGCTGTTTCACAGTGTGGGGTGTCGGGAATCGCTGTGCTGACGCTGCTGCGCAGATTATTGGCCCAGACCGGCCAGCCTGGACCAAGACTGCACAGCATGGTCAAAATAGCGACGCCTGACACCCTCTCCGAGACGCTATTTTTGACCCTCCGCCCCCCTCCCCCTCCCCTCGCCCCTCTCCCCCGTGCATGCTAAAACAGCCGCCCGTCGCTAGGAAGAGAGGTCGTCCTAGGCAGACGTGGGCCGGAGAAGTCGGCAGGCACGCCGTTGCCGTCTGCGACGATTGCGGTTTTCCCAAAGAGAATATAGATGTTATCCCAGCAGACAGCTGGAAGACAGCTGTGCGGAGGTATTGCGCGCCACGCTAGCTTGTCTCAACTGCTCATGTGCTTGTCACGAGGCTTCGCAACAATGACAGCCGCTCTTTTTGGACGCCCGAAATGGGCACGGAAACAATGGGTACCATGCCCAACAACAAATGTTGTCTCAAACCAACAGCGGCTGCTGTTGGGCATTCGGCCTCCTGTCCCAAATGTACGCAGGCCGCGGCGACACCGACAGCGAGTCCTGCTCAAAAGGAACCGGAACTGCTGTTGGGCATTGCACCCATGCTTTCCGTACCCCTTTCGTCCGTGCCGACTCCTGTCGGCTTCGCTGCAGGATGCAGCCCCCCCCCCTTAACGGGCGAAGAACTGTATAAAATATGCGTTTCGCCGTCGGGAACACATGTCCCAGGGCGGCTGGAAAGTTTATACCCTTACGATGGCACCGTAGGGGTATAAACTTTCCAGCCGCCCAGGAGCAGGCGCCCCCGACAGCGAGAAAGTTTATTTTATACCGTTCTTCGCCCGTTAACCCCCCGGGGCTCCCCCAGGGCGCGCTCGCGCCGTCGTCCAGCGCCTCCTCCGCCCGGCGCAGCAGCTCCACCTGGCCAGGGCCGGCGGCGCGCGCCCGCCGCCCGCAGCGGAGCAGGGAGAGCGAGGCGGGAGGGCGCCCAGAGGGGGAGGGGGGGAAGGCGGAGGGCGCCGAGGGGGGGGGGGGGGGGGAAGGCGCCGAGGACGGGGGGGGCGGGAAGGCGCCGCGCTGCACCTAATTAGGCGCCGCCGCCCCGCCGGCCGCCGGGCACAGTGGCGGGCGACCCCGGGGCCTGCGCGGCCCGTGCCGCGGCGCGGTGGCGCTGGCGCGCTCGCGCGCGCACGGGCGTGAGCCTCTCGACGGGGCGCGCTGCGGCCAGGGTGGCAATGCGGGCCAGCCGTGACGGCGAGAGCGCGCCAGGAGGCCCAGAAAGACCCACCGGCAGCAGATCGTCTCCCACATCTCCATGCCTCCTTCTCTTTCTCCGCTCCCCCCCCTCTCGCGGCACAGCAACATCAGGACCTCACACCGGTGATGCATGACAGCCCCTGCTCTGCAGGCTCGCTGGGGAGAGCTGTTGGCGGCCACGCCGCCTCGTCAGACCAGCCCGGCCGCAACAAATGACTGCCCTCCCTCCGCTGGTGTGAGCCATTGGTGGACACGCCGCCTCGCCAGACTGGCCTGACCGCAACGAGTCACCGCCCTCCCTCTTGCCTCCCGCCAGCCCGCGCACGCAGGCGCGACAAGATGGGGACATATGACAACTTCGTACCAACCTGGTTTCGGGAGCGGCCAAGAGGGGGGTGTCCAAAAAGGGGGGGTGCAAATCATGACCGGCGGCACGTGCGCGGCCCAGCGGGGGGGGCCAGGGACGCAATGAAATAAGAAGCGGCGCCATTAAAATCTGGGGAAATATCATGGCCCCCGCCATGATATCCCCCCCCCCCCGAGTCATCACCCCCCCCCTCTCTGCCGCCCCCGATGGTTGCGTTGGGCGCCCCGTGCCCTGGGAGGGCCCGCCCAGGTTCCGCCACGCTCGCGCCCGTGCCGCCGCGCAGGCGCTCGTGGGGGGGGGGCCCTTTGCCACGGGTGGGGGCCCGCCGAAGTGGCGCCACGCTCGGGCCCTTTGCCGCTTCGGGGGCGCTCGTGGGCGCCCCTCTGTGGGGGCGGGCGGCGCCGCGCACACGACATGGCTCACACCTCGCAGCTGACACCTGAGAGCTAACACGATGTAGCTCGCACCGTACAGGTAGCACCGTACAGCTCACACGACGGAGCTCGCACCACACGCCTGACCCAGCCTGCCTTGCATCAGACAGCTCACACCACATGCCACATAGTCTGCACAACACGGTTTGCACAACGTACCGTGCTCTGCATAGCTTCCACCTCCATACTGCAGAATTTGGTTGGACCCCGCGCGAATACAAAATACACATATACATACAAATATGTATGTGTGGATTGGAAGCTGGGAAAAGAAGGAGGGACATGATCTGGAATCCCACCAGCACTTTGGGCGACAGGTGGTCTAAGGAGGGAGGGGTCTCTTTCCTTTTCCACGACCCTTTGTTCCCCTGCGGGGAAGGGTTTACCCCTCCCCCTTGCCCCCTCCCCTGGACCTGGACGGGGGGGGGGGGGCGCGACGAAGTTGACCGTCCTTTTTTCGGCCCCTGGGAGGGCCATTTTCTGCCACCCCTCACGAGGATCGTGGCCCCCGAAAAGGGGGACGGAGATAAAGGAACCCTCTCTTTTGATCGATAGCCTCAAAGATGGCCCAAGACGGCCTCCAGGGCTCCCAAGAGAGCCCCAAGAGGGCCCAAAGAGCGCCCCAAACAAACCCCAAGAGGCCTCCAAGAAACACCCGAGAGGCCCCCAAGCGGCCCCCGAGTGGCCTCAGAGAGCCCAAGATGACCTCCCAAATGGCTGAGATACCCCAAGCTGGTCCAAGATGACCCCCAACATGCTCCAAACGGCCCGTAGACCGCTCCAAAACGGCTCGAGATGGTCACGGAGCCTCCCAAAACTCCCTCGTTGTCTGACTATGCGTGCCTCTTCCTTTCTCCCCCCGCCAGCTCTCATGGGCATCGTTTCTGGATGGGCTGGTGGGGATACCTGTTGGTCAACAGGCTCGCGAGGCGGGTCGAAAGCCGTCCGAACACTAGTCGGGCCGCGACTAGGCAGCAGGACAAGAAAGGCAAGCGACGGGCAGCCAGTCAGAAGGAGAGCCAGAAACGATGCTCTCAAACCCGGTGGCGTTGGAAATCCCGGCGGCGACCAGCAAGTAAGCGCAGCCAAAATGGCGTTGCGGCGCGACCATAAACAAGCAGAGGTCGACCGCTCGGTGTGAGTCAGACGAACAGCACCGTCAGAGACGAACTAGACCGACAGGCACACCGGGACGGCATCCGTGCCGTAAGGCTGGTGGGGATACTTGTTTGTTGGCCAGCGGCTCCGAGGCAACGGTCAGGGAGCGGTAACGAACGTCCGGGCCACGGGCGAGGGTAATTAGCTACAACAGGCAGAGGCCGGCCGGCCAGCTCACAAAGCAGCCAGGAAGCTGAAGAGGGCTGGTGGGGATACGCGACGCGGAGGAGGGGGGGAGGGAGAAGCAGAGGGAGGAGGAGGGAGGAGGGAGGGAACTAGAGGAGGAGGAGGAGGAGGAGGAGGAGGAGGAGGAGGGTGAGGAGAGAGGAGGGAGGCTGTACTGATTGTCTGATCCTGCGGCTTGAAAACCTGTACGTACTACGAATGCGGATAAAAGTGAAGATGGGGGAGGAGAGAAGGATTGACATCTCCTGTCTGCCCCTTGGCAGGTCCGCTCAGCGGTCGCACCGGCAGGCTTATTCGCACCGGCGTTGCGCACTTCCCCTCAGCAGGCCGCTCGCACCAGCAGACGTATTCGCACCGGCGTTTCGCGCTTCGGGGCGTAAGCCTAGGTTCTAGTAAGTCTAGTGAAGTCAGAAGGATACAACACATATCTGTAAAACTAAGAGTGCTAAGCGGTTAAATTCGGAACGGAACACAAACGAACAAGACAAAATTCGGCTCGCTCACTGATGCTACTGCTATCCCTCACTGATGCTACTGCTGCATGCTCATCCTGGGGGAGTGTGGGCCCGAAGGTGGGTATTACAGGAATCCGATGACCCGCCTCGGATTCGAACATGAAGTCAGGGCCCCTTAGGGAGGAAGCTCCCGCGCGAGACTTCCACACAACTCACTCACAGACAAAGCTCCCCCCTGATACTTCCTCCATCTTCAGGCTTGAGGAGCCCAAAACTGACGACCGTTACAGGAATCCGATGACCCGCCTCGGATTCGAACATGACGTCCGGGCCCCTAGGGAGGGTGCTCCCGCCTGAGACTTCCTCGCAATTCACTCACAGACGAGGTTCCCGCCCGATACTTCCACCATATTCAAGCCTGAGGAACCAAACAGTGACGACCGTTACAGGAATCCGATGACCCGCCTCGGATTCGTAACATGATCTGCGGGCCCCTTAAGGAGGGGGCTCCCGTCTGAGACTTCCTCACAATTCACTCACAGACGAGGCTCCCGCCCAATACTTCCTCCATATTCAAGCCTGAGGAGCCAAAAAGGAATCCGATGTCCCGCCTGGGATTCGTAACATGATCTGCGGGCCCCTTAAGGAAGGGACTCCCGCCTGCGACTTCCTCACAATTCACTCACAGACGAGGCTCCTGCCTGATACTTCCTCCATATTCAAGCCTGAGGAGCCCAAAAGTGACGACAGTTACAGGATTGCGATGACCCGCCTGGGATTCGTAACATGATCTGCGGGCCCCATTGGGAGAGGGCTCCTGCCGGAGACTTCCGCACAATTCACTCACAGACGAGGCTCCCGCCTGTTACTTCCTTCATATTCAGGACTGGGGAGCTCAAAAGTGACGACAGTAACAGGCTTGCGATGACCCGCCTCGGATTCATAACATGATCTGCGGGCCCCTGAGGGAGGGGGCTCCCGCCTGAGACTTCCTCACAATTCACTCACAGACGAGGCTCCCGCCTGATACTTCCTCCACATTCAGGTCTGATGCTGATGGTGAGTGATCGATGGATTATGGTTGGTGATGATGGAGCTGATGATGATGATGATGATGCTGATGATGATGATGATGATGATGATGATGATGATGATGATGATGATGATGATGATGAGTGGTGATGATGATGATACCCGACCCCATGAAGAAGCTCCTCGGTGACGGGCGGCTACACGCAGAGGCTGCGCAGCACGGGCGACCTCCTGCTTAAGGCCCTGATCCTCCCTTCAAGGTGCTGCACAGCATGAACAGAGTCAAATCTTTCCTCCATTCTCTGAGCGTTGAATGTGCTGAACCCCAAATCAAGCGAAACTGCTAGTGTATGCAGCTGTTCACCTGTGCTCCACGTATGGGAACGCATGAAAACACGATCAAGGAAGCTGAGCTGTGACCAGAGAGGGGGCAGAGCAGGAAGCAAGCGAGAGACAGAGGCAACATAGATGGGACAAACAAGATAGTGTTCGAGCGAGTCACCTCCCACGGCACAACACCCGAAACGGCACGAAAGGGTCCCCTGATGGAACCTACGGGTGGTGCACCAGGAGTTGCAAACGGATTTGACAACACTAATTCCTATAAACACGGGCAATGCTTTATTTATTACACGCAACTGCGACACAAAATCGTTGGCTTCACTCACAGTGGCATCACTACTCCAGTACTTCATTCTGGAAAGAAATCTTCTGGCCATAGGAATATTGAACATATGGGGTCTCAGGGCCTTCTCGGTTTTCTTCTGGAGCTCAGCACAGGGGGCTTGCGGAACCTGAGGAATACGCCAAATACGATCATATAAAGAGATCATCTGGTACAGGATGCTATTGGAGCGCCATTCTGGAAGACTTGGGGTAAGAGTCCTCTCGTCACTTGCCTCTGCGCTCTCAAGAGTTAGTCGCCCTCTGTGGAAGGCTGAAGAGTAAAAAGCAGCACGATATCTGGCGGCGTCACACACCAATTGGAAGCAACGGACCTCAGCCCCAAATTGTAGGTCCTTGAAATCGCGC